GTGGCTCCGGCATACTCACTCATGATTAAGGCCCCCGAACCAGCACAAGCTACAAACTCCAAGGAGACTAAATTCATCCCATCACGTAGGGATGAAATAACACAAACATCAGAAGCTACATAGAGGGCACAAAGCTCTGAAAAAGAGACTGAGTTATTGATGAAGTACAAACTGGTCTCCTCAATAGTACCAAGTGAGTTTAAAGACCCACTTAAACGACAAAGTACATTAGAAAGCATTTCGTAAACCCGTACATCAGTTCGACTAGGAACACCTACCTGGCAAAAGACAACCTTGTTTTGCAGATCAGGCCGGTTCTGTAGGAGCTTAGAAAATGCCTTAATTCGATGGGGAATACCTTTTATATAATCAACTCGATCAATACCCAGAATGATTTTCCGATCACCGAACTTCTTCTTCAGTGCAGCCGCTCTTTCCTTAGTCTTCTCCTTCAACGACTCGCACAGGAAGATACTAGGATCGATGCCAATCGGAAAGGCCTCGACTGAAACAGTACGATCCTTATGTTTAAGCGCAAAGGGAAACACAACCTCTTTGTTAAAGATAGCACAGGCATTACGGAAGTTACCAGCATATTCAAAAGTATGAAATGCAATCAGATCGGCACCTAACATTCCATTTAAAAGAGGGCGTAGTAAAGGAAAGCCCTTCAAGACAGCCACAACTGGAAAGGGAATGTGCAGAAAGTATCCAATCCGAATACTAAGCGGGACGGAGTCCCTTAGCATTGCTGGTAGAAGCATGAGGTGGTAGTCGTGCACCCAGACGGCATCATCAGGTTGTAGCATGTTCGTGAGTTCTTTAAGAAAGACGTGATTGACTTGTTTATAGGCCAAATAGTCTTCAGTGTCAAAAGAGACCAAATCAGCAAATGAGTGTAAAATAGGCCAAAGAACACCATTACAAAGATTGTTGTAATATCGGTGGTATAAATCCGTATCAATGAAAATCGGGTAGAATTCGTACTTTTCAATACATGTCTTTTTGACCTGTTCTTGATCTTCTTGGGGAATACCATCTAAAGTACCTACCCAGAGAAAGTTTAAAGCTTCTTTTGCACAGTTCAGACCCGTAACTAAGCCCCCAGAAGTTGGCGAGTAAGTATATTCACCATTTTCCAAAGCCACTTTCAAAGGCAGTCTATTGCTTACTACTATCACTCTTCCTTTTTTCATTAGCACTGAAAACAAAGAAACCTTTAAAGCACACAGACTGCATCTTAAATTACCTGGCAATTCTTTTCCTCTCTGACACCTATTTCTCCATTATCTCAACTTAGCCACCACATAATTTCACTTCAAATCAAAAGTAAAATCAAAATCAAAATTATTCCAACTGTCATACATTATTTAAAAAGTCCAGCCGGTCTCTCTACTTATCTCTTCTTCTTCCGTTAATCCTCACCCACTCTAACTCATTACAACTAAACTAAATACTAACCAAGTACTAACTAAGTACTAACTAAATGCTAACTTAACTCAACTTATCAGAACTCACCTTATCAGAACTCACCTTATCACGACTTAACTCTACACAACTCAACTTAACTTATCACAACTTAACTTATCAGAACTCTACACAACTTATCATAACTCTACACAACCCAACTTAACTAAATACTAACTTAACTCACCTTATTACAATAAATGGCGGCTGATAGATATCCCCGCATTAATATGAAATCAATACTAAACACGCATCAGTTTATTACATCAGAAGGCAGCCCATTAGTAGTCAAGGGATCTGGAGAAAAGTACTGCATAAAGACCTCTTCTTCTAATTGGGATCATTGCTTCACAGCTTACCTTGCAGAAGATAAAGTCTGGTGGGCATGGTTTGCCGCAAGCATCAGTGGGGTTGCTTGGTTTGCACTTAATTGGCTTAGCGCAAGGTGAGCAGTTGAATGGCTGAGGCGGGCAAGCTGGCATGCATGGCCTTGGGAAGGGGAAGGGCGGGAAGGGGAAGCGACCTGGAAGTCTTGGCATTGGGAAAGGCGGCATGGGTAAGCATGGTCGTCTAATCACAACTCGGTAGAACTCATTGTCTACGGCAATGAAGATGTTGTTGAAGTGGTCAATGAACAAGCAGACACATCCGCACTGGCCGAACTTGTCACGAGCATTGCAGAGAATGCGGTGAAGTAAGGAAGCATTGCGAAGGACGTTAGGGAAAGGCAGAGAAGCTGAGTGGGGAAGAGTCTTAGCAATGGTAAAGATGGTTTCTTTACGGAAAGGCTTGCATTTGGTTTCAACTATTCTTAGGAAGTTACCGCAGGAAACAGTTAGTTCGTCAACAATGTAGACCTTGCTGTGGGAGTAGTTTGCCACACATGGGGAGTCGCAAGGAGAAGCTCTTCTCTTTACAACGCACTTCTTGGGCAGGCAGCACACTGAAGGGCAGACAGTACTGTCCTTGATCTCAATCATAGGAGGAGCACAGGGTGCTGTGGCACAAGGAGAGCAGGGGATGGAAGGAGTGGAAGGCACAACTGGTCCCGGAGCAACCGGAGCAATTGGGGCTGAAGGAGTGGAAGGAACAACTGGTCCCGGAGCAACCGGAGTAGGTGCTGAACCGCCTTGCATGCAGAGCACATGCGTAGTACGATTGATAGGAGCTAAAGGAGTCACATCACCAGCACTGGCACCAATCACCATTTCAATTTTCTCATCATTCCATCCAGCAACTGCAGCTCTTGAAATGTTGCGTGCCTTAAGAGCTGACATCACATTGGGAACATCTTCTGCCCGTAGCATATATGGCTGTAAACCAATGCGCTGACAAAAGGACGATGGTTCCGAGGAAGTAGCAACCGAGGGATCGGTCACCACTACAAGTGAGCTAGCATTGGTTAAGCATGTTACCGTCTTGCAGAGCAAAGCAACAAAAGGAAGGTACCTCATTCTTAATGTCACCTAATATCAGGTATTTATACTTTTATTTTAATCAATATACATGAATATAGCTTTAGTAAAAAAGAGAGCATTCTAGATCAGATAATAAAGGGTTCGTATTCTATTTAAAGACTTCTCGGCTTACTAAACACTTAAACACGTCCCGTCTTAATCCTAAGGACTCCAGTCCTTAATTTAACCTGCTTTAGCCTAACACCCATGGCCATTCTAACCCAAACTTTAGACCAACTAAATTTCACAACTTTTAGGCCAAGCCCTAATCAGTACCCAATCTAAGCAAGTTTCACTCAGCCCAAAGTCATTTACCTCCAAACCAAGCATATATACCTATTTTCCATTCCTCAGTCCAATTACATCCAAATGTGTTGCTTCTAAAAGCACCTACACAATCAGTCCAATACTAACACAATACTAAACCAACCCATACTAACACCAAACCAACCCATACTAACTCAATACTAACCTAACCTAGCCGGTCAAAAGTCGATAGAGATTCCAAGACATCTCAAATAAACCAAGACTAACTCAATCCACTACAAGCTCTGTCGTTTATTGGTTTGGTTCTATATTACATCTTCATTTTACTTAATACACCTTCACTTCACTTCACTTCACTCCACTCTACTACACTTCACATTACTCCACTCAATGCAATCCTAATTCCGTCAGATCCAAATAATAGAAGTAGTAGAGTATACTTGAGAAGAGAAACCCAAAAATATGCCACAGTGCATGTGAATCCACTAGAAACAAGATTGGGCCAAAGTCAAGAGCTTGGAATAAGCTAGCCAGTACTAATCCTACCCCCGCTACTTTCAACACCACCCGGCATGGACTTTTCAGCCGCCGGTACCATACCACCCATAAACCACAATTCAGCGCAAACAACAGCCCACAGACCATTGCGTTATACCCAAAGTTAAACTCAATTCCCAGCAGATAGACCGAGTGCCCTAAAAAGAAGATAGTTTTAGCCAGCCAAACACTCCGTGAAACCTTCCCCCAACGACTCAAACTAACTATACCCAAAGAAAGAATACTAGCCATTGCCCCTAAGTAGTCCATGACTTGAGTCACATAGATATCACGGAAGTGAAAAACCCCACTCAAAAACCATGTCAAACATTGCAGACTAATTGCTGTCTCCAAAATCAAATGGTAGCCCAACAAGCTATCTTTTAGCCGGTACTCAGGCAAGTACCTAAGCCTCCTAATCTTCCATCCAAACCATCCAGCTGCCACACAAGCCGCCAAGGAAAATCCAGCCGAGACTATCTCCTGGGCATGGCCAATTCGTAAAAAGGCATACTTGCCACGATACTTCGTCGTTGTACAACCCAAGCGCAAACACTCTTGAATAAAGGTCTGATTCGCTTTAAACTCACTACGCGACCACAAAAGTTCGTCTATCTTATCGCAAACAATGACATGCCTGTCTTTTATTTCAGTCCACCAAATGACATCATTCATTAAGCCAAAAGCAACTCAAACTACTTTTGAATTAAGCCAAAGTTAATTAGAAAGCCCTAGTCAGTCAATATAAACAAACAAATCATAATAATATAGTTCAATTGTGAATTAGTTTGGATGGAGATACAGAAAGAGCGATTCAACATTCGGATAAACCCCAATGACCTGGCCGGCCTAGACGAGTTCTCTAAAAAGGATCTTAAAAAGCCCAAGAAGTTCCTATCAAAAAAGAAGATCTCTCTTTACAAAACCGAGATATGCAAGAGCTTTGAAAACAGCAGTTACTGCTCATACGGAGAAAAGTGCCAGTTTGCCCACTCACTTGACGAACTACGTGATATCGAAAGGCATCCTCGCTACAAGACCGAGCTCTGTAAGACCTACACCGCTCTCGGGGCCTGTTCCTACGGCAAAAGATGCTGTTTCATCCATGCCGGCCCCGAAAACGACGAACATACCGATCGACAAGATGCCCGCAACTTACCCGGCGACTGGAAAGCCCCCGGACTCACCACCAATCTTCCCGACATTGAAATGTCCACCATTACCACCGATCCCGAAATCTTCAAAACTCAAGCCATCCTTACTGAAGAGGAGAACGAAAAACTCCATTTCCTCAGTCTCTACCGCCCCCAACCAGCCATCGGTAGATCCAAAATCAAAAAGCATCCATGTCTTTCCGTCGTCCCCGGCGATTTCGTCGGTTTCAAACGAACTTCCTCTGTCTTCTGGGCCCATGCCTACCACTGCTTTATCTATGTAGATTCCCTCTGCACTGTCATCTCCTTCAAACCCCTCGGTAAAGCCCCAGGCACATTCGTCCTCAACAAAAAGCAACTCAAACTGTAACCTCACTACCTCACGACTATCATCATTCTACCACCACCATCACCACCACAATCCAACTCAACTCAACTCAACTCACCCCACCCCACCATCAACACCCCACCCCACCACTCTATACTATACTAACCCAATAGCATCACTACCTAATCCAATAACATATCACCTCTTATTATTAAAAGAATCTTAATCGGGCTTACTTATCTCTTTCCAAATCAAAATCAAAATCAAAATCACAGCTAAAATCAAAACAAACGCACAGACTAATATGTAATTTTAATTTTCAATCTTTCCCATGGAGATTTTCAAATATACACCCAATTGGTCCCAGATTGTGCATCGGCAATTAATGAAATTTGAAGACAAAAGTGAACCGGCCAAGAAGATTCCCATTCCCGATTTAGAATTCGAGCTTAAACTAGTTACAGGCCAGAAGAAGAAGGCCCAAGAGCTTTGCCATATCTGTAAGAAAGATAAGCATTTGCCATCAATGTGTCCCCAAAAGCCCGTTAAACCCCAGGCCGAAGAAAAGTCCGTTGAAACGTACAACGTAAATGTTATCTTATCTCCCACCACTGTAAAACTCATGAACATTCCTACTGATACTTCAAGAGGCCAGTTAAGGGAGATTCTTCGCGATGCCGGTATTATCTATGAATCCTTGCATATGGTTGGAGATAAGAACAACCGAGAAACCTTTATCTTTAAAGGTCTTGTTTACATTGAGTTGCCTACTAAGGAAGAGGCAGAAAGGTGTCTTAAGCTTTTTGATGGTTTGCGAATGGACATTCAGATAGTCAGTGCGATGGTAGTGGAAAGTAGATCAGCACGTGAATAAAGAGAGAATTGCAATTTTTACCCATGTCTAGATTGAATCGGCCGCTTAAGTTAACTGAGTTGCAAACAGAATTTGATCGTCTTGCAAGTAATGATAACCGTAAATTAGTCCTATCTAAAGCTTATAGTATTTTAGCTTTATCTGAAATTTATCAATATAATGAATTGCGAAGTATATCTACGAATTTCCTTTTTAGGAAATTTAAAAGTAATAACTGGCAAGATTTATTTATTGCTGGTGAATATCTAGATAAGCTTAAAAATGAAGTAGAAGGTGAAGTAATTAGTAGTGCTAAAGAACACTTCCCTAAAGAGTACTTAGGCGTTCTTCTTCCAGTTAAGTTGGCTAGTAAGTCCTATGAAACAGTGAAAGATAAGCGTGTTTTCAAAGAACTAGAACCCTTCATTAGTGAACATAAGATTGTAGATCGAGTCGGTCAACGTACTGGCCAGCAACGTAGACGGATTAAGGCGGCTCGAGATAAGGCTCAGGCCGTCTCACACGAGCAGGTGGTGCAAAGACGGCGAGCTGATCAGGCTTATGCACGGGAGATGGCTCGTTTAGAACAACAGTTGCGTAAGCAGTAGTTGCGTTAGGTTGGTGGTGGTATTAGGGTGATATTAGGGATAGGTTAGGTTGGTGGTAAGTTAAAAAGGTCGTCGACAGTAGGATTCGAACCTACGCGGGGAACCCCAGTTGATTTCGAATCAACCGCCTTAACCGCTCGGCCATATCGACTCACTAGAAAAGCAGGTGAAAGGAGTAGCACTGGTGGTAGTGGAGTAAAAGAACAAAAACGTCAGCGGCAGGATTCGAACCTGCGCGGAGAATCCCCAACCGATTTCAAGTCGATCGCCTTAACCGCTCGGCCACGCTGACTACCAATTGTGAGCGCGGGAAGAGCTTACGGACAAATAAAGAAGTGTTAAAGGAGAGATATTAAAAATTTCGTCGACAGTAGGATTCGAACCTACGCGGGGAACCCCAACTGATTTCTAATCAACCGCCTTAACCACTCGGCCATATCGACTGCAACTTTCCTGAGTGCGCATCGAGTTTGGACTTGGGTTAGTAGTGAGTGAGTTGGGTTTGGACTTGAGTTTAGTAGTGAGTTGTGTGTGGTTTGAATAAATGAAATTAGATAAGACTAAGTTGGTGTTAGATAAAAATGAAGTGGGGTTTAGTAGCTGGCTAAGTTGTGGTTGGGTTAATGTGGGGCCAATACGGTTTATTGGAATAGTGTCGATGGCCTAGTTGGCTTGTCATGAATAAGATCTGGGATAAGGGTCATGAGTGGATTCACGTAGAAGTCAGTGAGCTTGGGCTTGGGGAAGAGAGTGTTATCGGTCTTGAAGAAGTGAATGAGGTTTTGGCCATTCGGACTTTGAACTTCGCTGGAGAAGGGATAGATCGTGCTGTGTAGTGAATTGAAGGAGAGCTTGGACTTGAAGAGTTTGTAGTAGGCTAGAGCGTAGAGGATACTGCGGTACTTGGTCTTGGTGAGGTAGTTGTAGTTGGTGATTTGCTGGGCGTGGGCTTCTTCTTGGCCACTGGCAATGGCTTGGTAGAATGACATGACGTAGAAGATGTATGCGACATTATAATAGGTGGCAAGGTAGTTAAGATGGAATGGGTACTGCATCAAGTAGGAGCAGCACATCTGGGGGGTGTAGTACCGGAGAGTGATTTTGGCGGCTGGTTTCTCGCGGATGTAGTCTAGGTAGACCTGGTAGCTGAGGCCGTGCTCGGCGAGTGCCGTTTTCAGATGTTGCTCTAAATTCTCACGAATAATGGCGTAGACACTGGCACCTTCACAGTTGGTGACGTGCCAGTGGGCAATATTGGAAATAAGACCGAGGATACTATTGTTAACGGGAATACCGGGCCCGGCTTTGAGACGAAGGCTGGTTAGGTTGTAGTGGTGGTCGTGCTGTTGGTTGATGAGTTTAATTGTATCGGCAACTTCAAAGATGTAGTTGTAGGTATAGCTAGTCACGCTGGCGAGAAGGACATCTAGAGCTTTTTCCCAGCAATTGGGCAATATGCGGGGTAGTAAGTTGCGCAGGACTCGGGTTCCATAGGCGCCGGTCTTGATGCTGAGGGCGGGAATACGCTCGGTAGGTTGTGGTTTAACCGGATTGGGCGTAGTTTGGTCATCGGCTTGGTCGTAGATAAGAGTTTGGGTGCTGACAATAGATATAACAGAGTGGGCTGACTTGATGGGGGCGGGCATGGAGTCGGTGCTTGTTTCGGGAGAGACTTCTAGGATATCGGCTAGATTGCTGCTGGTCGGACGGCCGGTAGAGAAGGAAGTCTGGAACTCGTGATAGTCATCCTTGATATCAAAACGGTCATCATTATCCCCTTCAACGCGGTCGGGCGTGCCATCCTCGTGCAGAATAGTTCGTTTGAGCAGATAGATGATGTTACGGCGCAGGAAGACCAGACTTTGGAAGAAGACGCGGTTGAGTGGACAAACGGCTGTTTGCATTGAGAAGATGTAAGTTTGGATGAGTGCTATAATTGCTGGCTTGGCTATGCTGACAAAGTCGGTTTGGTGGACGGACTGGGTGTAGGCATCGTTGAAACTATAGAGAATGTCGTGGAGAAGTTTGAGCGAGAAGGTGGTTGTTTGGTGGCTCAGAAGGAAGAAGCTTTCAATAAGGTGGAGACACCTAGTGACTTCCATTCGGTTCGGGTGGTCAATCCCGGATAAGTAATTGGCGTCTTTGCCATTTCTTTGGATTTCCAGTGCTCGGTCGTTAATGAGTTTGGCGGCTTGACCTTCCCAGTCATTTTCAAGCATAAGCCATTCAAGGATTCGTGGCTGGTTGTAGATATTGATGAGCTCGGCCTGTCGGAGTTGTGACGTGATTAGTAGAGTAAGATGGTTGTGGTGGGTGGCGGCATAACATCTTTCTAGGCACTGTAGAGCTCCTTCGTAGAAACGGCGGTATTGGGTCTGGGCATCCTTGATGTCATTGCAGGTTTTACTGTTGAAATGGACGGGAATATGGGCTTCGCTTGGGTCGGAGATAGGGCGCCGCCAGTCTCTTAAAGAAGCAATGGTGCTATTGAGCTTGCGCTGGATGTACTCAGAATCAAACCGGAACTGTTTGCTATTGCGGTCCAAATCTCGGTTGAGCGCTTCAAGGGGAGGGTCCTGAAGGACTGTGACATTATTCTGGGCATACACACACGTAGGACCCGACGATATAAAGTCGTCTTGTTTGCGTCGGAGCGTTTGGAGCTTGCGCTGTTCGAGATCGGCATCATTGAGTACATGGACAACCATTCTGGTGGTCATAGCTCCCGAAAGGGTTTCCACGAACTCTATTTCTGCTGGGGCGTAGGGATTGACGAACTCTTGGTCTTTGACCGGATGGGTTCGGTTGGTTTTAAAGCTTAAGCTTGAGATTAGGCTGGTGCGGTCTTTCTTGATGGGGACGTGTCTTATAGCGGGTATTTCTTCGGTGGTGGGAAGTTCAGAGTTAGCGGCAGACTGAAGAAGCTCGGAATCTTTGGGTACTGGTTTAGAAGTCGGTGTAGTTGTTTCTTGGGCTTGGTTGGTTTGAGATTGATGCTGGGCTTGGGCTGGTGATTCGTTGGTTGTGTTATTTCTTGTAAAGTTACTTATAATAGTGTGAATGATACCTTGGACCATGCCCCCTTCGCTGTGGTGATCGCCTGATTTGGTTTTGCTTGGGTGTTTTGATTTTACTTGGGTTGCTTGCGGTGTATTTATGATCTTTGCCGGAATGTCAGGATTAACTGTGGGAGTTGGCTCGCTGGGTGGGGCAGGATCTTTGGTAGTGGTGGGAATCTCTAGTGTTGTATTGGAGGACTGTGATTGTGAGGTGTTGGTGCTGGACAGGGTGGATGTAGAAGATGAAGTGGACATGGGAGCGATAGGGTAGGGCTCATTGAAGCTGTCGGGGCGTTCTGGCTTTCTTGGTTGATTTAAGTGCGGTTCAGATGTTTGGCTAGGTTCTTCTTCTATTTCGAGTGAATATAAACTACTATGCTGGCTGCTTGGTTGGCTGATGGAGTTTGGCTCTTTCGGGCGCTTATCTTTGTTGCGGTGTCGGTGCTTAGAATGATGGGTGGGAGCGTGAGGAGTAAGGTCGTCTTTTGGCCGGGATAATGGGATTGCCTGCGGGTCGTTTAGAGTTGGACTCTCTTGACTGCCGAGGGGCTGAGTGGTTGGTGAGCCGTGGTGGTTGGTGGGGGGAAGGGGTGCGATCTTTGAGGAGGTTTTATGTCGTGGTTTTTTGACGCGTGGGGCGGCAACTGGAGATTGTGATAGTTTCAGGTTAAGATCTTTCGGTTGAGGCGAAATCAAGCAGTACGTTGTGCCTTCTTCTACTTTCTGGCTATTCAGTGGTACGTACCCGCGTGGGGGAATACTTGAATCTGAAATAAGTGGCACAAACATGTATGAATGGTTAGACTGAAGTCTGGGTATAACAGCTGGCGTGCTACTGCGAACAAACAAGGTTGTCTGGCTTGCCCAAACAAGAAGATAGATAAGGTGAATTTGATACATGTTTTTGAAAATTTATTTTGTATTTAACTACATAGGTTACTGATTTAGATTTTTGATAGCAAATTAAAGGTTATTCGTAAGGTTTCAAGTTATGCCACTCTTTTTATTGGCTGGAGATAGTGTTTAAGGTTTAGATCTAGTGTGTTGGTGGAAAAGAAGACTGGCTGGATGGTTTCATAGTTGTTTGCTGATTTTTATTGAGATTAAAAGTGATCTGGCCTTATGTTGATTCTGATGGCGATTAGGAGAGATTGGGAGGCGAACTAGAATTAATAAAAGGGGAAGTAGAATGGCTGGCTTAATCGGAGCAAATTTAGTCAGGGGAATGATTGATAGCACAATTGTTGAGCGAGTGGGGCGGCGACTCGCACCAGATGACAAGATAAAGAGTGGGAACAAGAAGTTCAAAGAGTTCATGGAAAACGACCATTTCAAACTCCTCTTCAAGAAGAACTGTGAAGATAAGCTTCTTTCACTCAAACAAGAAGATACTTACTACAAAAAGTACAAGAAACCCGATATCCAGCAGATCGGCGGGCAAATAGAAGAGAACCTAAATCCCAGACAGAATTCTGATGAGCCCGAGTCTTCAGTTATTCAAGAAAGAATCTCCAAGCTAGAATTCCTTTTCAAAAAGGTCTCTATTGCCAAAGGTGCCGGCCCTGACATTACTCTATCTACTCCCAAGCAAGTCTAACCAGTACTAAACAACCCAGTCATTATAATAAACAAGCGATGTTAGTATTAGATTGAGTTATGAGTTGGTTTAGTTTGGGTTATGAGTTGGTATGGTATGGTGTGGAGTGGAGTGTTGGTAAGTTATGTTGTTTGAGATAGCAATTGATTATATTAAAGTTGTTATTTGACTTCACAATCAAACCAAATTCAAATACGTAATCTAATCTAAAGCCCAGCCCAGCACCCAATCCCACACTAACCACACAACCCAATACTAAACCCAATATTAACCCAACACAACCCAATACTAAACCCAATACTAAACCTAACTCAATCTAATACTTAACCCATTTTAATGATTGGACTGGTCCTTCGGGATATCATCAAAGAGACATGTTTTACTAGTTAAGAGTGTATTGTTGTGAAAAATAGAACATACGATTTTATCAGGAACTTTGGTATAGATAGTGGTGTA